TTCTTGGCAAAGATACTGGAGTGGCTTGCCACTGCCTGCTCTAGGTGGACTGTGTTTAGTCGGAACTCTCCACTTTGACCTGTCCGTTTTGGGTGGCCCTGCACGGCATAGCCCACAGCTTTTCTGAGTTACTCAAGGCCCTTCGCCAGGACAAGGCAGCAATCCATGAAGGGGCAAAAGAATATTACCTCTAATCAAGTTCTAGTCATGAATGCAGGTGTTTATTAATACCAGACAAAAAGATGGAGAATGTTGCTTTAAGAATAATCTATTGAGGCCTGAATATTCAACAGTAGCTGACACTAATGTCATAGTAATCTTAATGCTTAGCCTATCTATTTCTCCGGTCAACTTCAGGGGAAAAAAGCTGAAGATAACATACATTTTAAGATGTCTCCGACACAACTGTTCTTCTCATACCACACTAATCTTCTCTCTGTTGCAGGTATTATGAACTAAGTTCTCATAATAGGTATGAAGATAGAATATTCCCTGACTAGGTGAAATAAAGATCTCTTGGCACTACTATTTTAACAAGCTGAAATACAAAGATCTAATCAGAATTCCCTAAAAAGAGAAAAGAGCATAAATTCAATCTGAATCTGTCACCAGACTGATTCCACAGTAGAAAAGTTCCTATTTTTAAATGCCATAGATTTCCTGAAATACTGAAGAGGTTCTAATTTTTTTAAAAAAACAAACAAACCTTGGGACAACATGCTGCAATGGAGCTTGTAAATATGGAAAGAAGTCTCATATGATCACTTCACAATTTCCTTCTTTAATCCAAGCGAACAAAAATTTCACCAGTGGCTGAGATCAAGATCAAGTCCAAAAACTAGTTTTGTGCTCAACCCATAAGTAGCATTTGGGGACTACCCTTCACAAAGATGGGTTCATAAGTATTTCCAAGACATGCTAAAACTTGTTCTAAAAAACAAGTCTTTTCATTTTGCAGTTTTCAAAAGCACAGCAAGTCCTACTGAACTGAAATGGTACCCGCATTGATGCATGATAGCAAGAGGACTGCAGTTTTATGGTGGGATATGTGCTGATGAGCTGCACTGTCAACCTGGATACCTGATTCTCTGCAAGCAAAACACACAAAACCCATTCACCAATGTCTCTCGCCTAGCATAACTCCATCACTGAAACTCAAGACTGAGTGGGCCAGAAGAATCCAGTCCTCTCCCACAGCCTGAGGTAATCGTCAGATCTGGATTACACTGCAGACACTAGGACAGACTTCTGGAGCATCGTCTAATCATTGTCCAAGATGGGGCACCTGCCAGGCCAGAATTGGCACACTTTCCATTTGTTGCAAGAAAGGCAAGTTTGAAATAATAAAAGCATTATTTAGGGCTTTTAGATGGTAACAAGCATGTATTGGAAAAAAAAAACTGATACAGACCCTATTTGGAAATAGGATGGTGAAGGAGACATGCAACTTCATTTTAAGACAGTATTGTAACACTGATGACTACACAATTTGACCAGCGTGTTTTTCAGACTTCCAGCTTTCCACTTCTACCACACATGACAGAGAAAGCATGCTGTATTAGCAGAAAGAGCATTGTTATTTAACAAGCATTATGCAATGGGTCTTACCAGCACTTCAGGGACAACAACTGCAGATAGTGGCTTCTCATTAACAGTGGTGTCTTTAGCTAGCATGTACAGTCTTTCAGCTTCAGAGAAACAGGAAATTTCTAGTACAACAGCACCTATAACAAATGGATTCAATAATATCTTCCATTAATTAATATGGAACATAGAAAAAAATCTGTATGTCTATAATAACACATATTTATTTTTTTCTCTCTTTTGCAGAAAATTCTGTTTAGCTAAAGGAAAGCCTGGTCAGAGTTTGTGAGAAGGGAATAGTCTTGTTCTCTCATGGATGTTCAATTTAGTTTCAGTTCCACTGTACAGACACCACATCCCTTTCACCCAGTGGAATGATAGACATTACTCTCTTTTCCACATGGAACACTTTCCACTGAGGCAAGATTCTCAGGAAGTCCTGGGCAGGCAGAGAATGTTTCTTCATCTTCCAGCCCTTAAGGAAATGTGGGGCTGCTAAGATAGAAAGATCAAATGCAGAGCCTTAGGAAAGGCACTTCTAAGAATAATAAATACAAAGATGTGCTGAAGCCATCCATACTTGAGCAGTGATAGGATAATGCTCTGGAACATCATCCTACCTTTTCTCAATGATAGGTGGCTTCAGCACATCTTGATATTCTTTCAGCTTTCACATAAGTTTCCAAGCTGTGCATTCCCATCACACTAGGAAGGAAATCCTTATTTGAAAGTAGCACATCCCCTACACCTGAAGGACCCAGCAATTTAATGACAGAAGTTATGGGATGCTCTGTGCTCAAAACAAAAACAAATCCTCCTTATTTAAGACTTCACTTCAATATGCACGTTAAGGGAGTTAGGAGGGCTGAGACATGCCTGAAGACCCGTTTCATCACACATGGAATGGAGTGACAGTCAAACAATACCAAGTATGGTGCTTCATAAGCAGTACCCTTCACCCAGCCACCAACTCTAGTTAAAATGTTGTATGTTTACCTTGAGATGAATACACTTGACTCACAGAAACTAGATTCGCTGTAAAGGATTAAAAAACACACACACCAAGATTTATTTTCCAAGTGTAACATTAAAATGTGTATGCTCTCTAAATGAAAACAAATTGTACATTACCTCAATAAAGCTTAACCAGTTAAAACAGGCCATTTCACACATAATTTAAAGGAATAAGCCTTGCTTATTTAAAGATGTGTGACATTTAAACAAAATTTGCAATGGATTTTCAGCTAAATGCTTCAGGCCAGTAAATAAGATCAACTGTTCACAGGAGAACAAAGCTAATTCCAAATGCTGTTGATGGAATATATTAGCTGCAGTAATAAACACAAATGATATTCAAATTACCTATTAATCTTAATTTAAATTGTTATGCACGAACATTGCATGGGTGGGATTCAATAAGAACTGCAAGTACAGCTCTATGCTTGGACTTAGGTTTCTAAGAACCATGACCCACCCCAGGAACAGAAGGCATACAAAATCACTATCTTTTGTTATTCATAAAATTATGGAGGAGGAACACAAGGCATACAAAATCACTATCTTTTGTTATTCATAAAATCATGGACATATATGACATATAAGTAAAATTGAAAACAAATTAAAACATTAATATAATTAGATTATTTTAAACCAGAAGTGGGTTACTTCAATAGCACTATCTTGGTCATTTACTAGAACTTCTTTTCTACATATGGTGAGGCATAAACTGCATGCACATAAAGTGCTGTATTGACTGAATTTCTCTGCAGTCACAGAAAATTGTCCTGTATCCAAGTAGACCCATTTTACTTGATTATTCAGGTCACTATATAACAGTGGGCCCCATACTATATGTTCTCCTTGAGCTTGGTACCAGATACACACATTTCCACTTTTCCCTCATATGCCCAAAACGGTTCCGCTGAATCATTATTATATTATAGCTTCTGGTTCTTTCCAGAGATTTATTATCTTACGTCCACATTGTTGTTCTTTTATTTCTTTTCACTCATTTAAAAAAATCCTTCCAAAGCTCAAACAGATTTAAACTAAAGTATAATTAAAACAGTATTTTCATAGAAAATGAATTACAGTATATTGAATTGAAAATTAAAAATTACTGAACTATTAGTTATTATAAAAAAAGAAGAAATCCAAATCACTGAGTAGGAGCTGGTGTCAGTGCTTGTTATGCAGTATCACCTCTGATTTAATTTTGTTTTATAAATAGCATCATGTTCTAAGAACCATGTAGGTATTTAAAGTACAGGAAAACTTCAGCTACATTAGCTTAGGCATTACAGATAATCATTTAGAAGTATGTGCAAATAGAACATCTTTTCAAATTAAGTACATTAGAAAATAAGTTGGAATAGTATTTGGCTTACTTTTGATCGTTAATTCATCTTTGAGGATGTTTGTATATTCTCCTATAGAGAGATGAGGTGGCAGACCTCCAACAAATAAATGTACCTGCACAACTGATATTTTTTTTTCCACAATGTAAAATCTGGTTTGATTCATCTGCCGTAATGAGGTCTGTGCAAAAGAAAAGAAAACTGAAAAATCCATCCCACTGCAACTACCATATATTTACAGAAACAGGGTTATGACTTTACAAGCAGAAACTATTGTCATTAGTTTCCCAAAACAGTTATTATACGATATGTCTGCCTGTATAAGTCAAGTTTTCATATAAAGAATTATTTATTTTTTTCGATTTGCAAAATGTTCATATTTTATGCTTCAGGTTAGCAAATATTGAGAAGTTCTGGTAAAATGCCATATTTATGGCAGTCTCTTATATAACTACCTGGAACTAACTACTTGTCATGGAATTCCAAATTTCCTTTCAAAAATATGCAGTGCGTGTACATATATATTCCTTGATTCTATATAATTCAGATAATTTTCCCAAATATGTTCTTCCTTAAGATAATTTTTAATCAAGATAAGTGTGCAGTGTAAGGAGTCAGTATGACAATGGTATTTGGGCTAGACACAGTTGTGGGAAAGATCCAAACAGTGAAAGTGTTAAGATAAGCATTGGTACAGGGTATAAGCATCCTGATTCACAGACTATATAAATACATGACAATCCTCCTCCTCCAGTTTGTGTAATAACACTCACAGAAGATGCCAATCCAGAGACTTTGAATCTTGGGAAGAATGAAAGCTTTCCCACATCCACAAAGCCTTCACATGATATAAAGAGGTATAATCTTTACTCGTGCTGAGTAGGGAAAATGATGAGCTCCCTGTGGGGGCTGGACCCTAAAAGCCCTTGGACCTCTCCTGCCTTGTCACATGATCTATCCACAAGCACCCAAGATCTGCTTAGGTGCTAGAAGGTAGTTACTCTTAAACACAGGAATGGTAGATGGGGTTGTTGTGTTTAAAGGACAGAGCACATGTCAACAATGCAATACCAGTATGTTATGACAGACATACTCTTTTTTTTTTGCTTGTTTGCTATCAGAAGGGGGGGGAATTCAGTTGGGACATTGATTTCTTTGTTCTTTCTAACATAATAAGGAACAGTGGAGCCAAGTACTAAGCCACCATGAACAACAGTGGCCCTGTGATTGCCTAAAGGTGTGAAGAGAGAGCTAGTAGGTGGGGGTAGGATTTTAAGCACAGTTATCTTTGGTTGCTTCAGAGATTCTGGTCTCATATGCTGCTATCAACCAATCAGAATAGCTGAGAATTCTGGATTGCCACTCATGAACAGTGTGCTCATATATGTAGTTTAATAACCCCTATGGCAGACTTATTGTCAGCAGAACAAAACAGATATTCACTAGGCCACATATCTTAAGTGTTACATCTGAACCGGCACTTCTGGTTTAGCTGTGCCAAGAAGAAATCAGTCTGAAGACAGGATTTGTTGCTGGCTTCCAATACCTGAGTTATTAAAGGGGTTACATGTCAGAAAATTTAGACACCTGGTTAATTTTTGGTGAGCTGAGCCACTCCTGCTAGCAGGAGATATTAAGCAGGAGTACTTGGACTGAAGACTCTTGAATGCTTCTGTTGAAAAACAACTCAGAATCCTCGACCTTTCATTATATATGAATGCAACCAATATGTCTGAATTTCTTCTCATCCATTTAACTGAAACCCAACGATAGGAGAATAAGAAAAATATTCCACAAAGAATTCAGCAATAGGAAAAATAAATCATAGTATTTTTCTAGTTACCTTTCTTATATCTTGAAATCTGCCAAGAATCAATTCATCGTCATCTAGCACCATTCGCTGAACTATGGGGGAAATCATTCATTTAGTTTCATTTTAATTGAAAAACAAATGTGAAAACCTTTACTGGCTCAGAAAGGTCAATCAATAGAAAATTTATTTCTTCAGATAAATTACTTCTAAGCAGTACGGAATGACAACTTCACAAAAAAAATTAAAGCCAAAATCTGCAAGATTTTAAGTCTAAAACTTAACATTCAAGTTTCCAAAAATAGTTGTTAATATTAATCTATAGTGTGATGCCACAGTAAGAGAAACTACTGATTACTTGCCTTGTCTAGAGCCCATGAGAACCTCCACCAAACTAAAATCCCGGAAGTTTTCTAGCTGCTGAAAGAAAAATATATACAGATTTTGAGTTAAATGGAAATTTTCTTTTTTTAACTTTGAAGCTGTATGATTTTTTTTAAAAAACACACACAAAAAGTATTAACACAGAAGAATGGATGGGATTGCTCTCTGATTGAAAAAACAGGTGCGCAGTTTGGGTGTGTTCCTAGATTCATCTCTGAGCCTGAATGCCCAGGTCTCGGCAATGGCCAGGAATACATTTGCGCAATTAAAATTAGTGTGCAAGCTATGTCTGTCTTGATCTGGCCACCATGACACATGCCTTAGTTACTTCTCGGATGGATACCATAATGCACTCTATGCGGATATACTGATGGAAAGTGTCAGGAAACTTCAGTGATCGAAATGCAGCAGCTAGATTGCTGATTGGACCTGGTCACATAACCCAGTGGTTCTTAACGTGGGCAATAATGCCCCCCAGTGGGCGATTTTGTTTTTCAGGGGGCAGTAGAACGAAATGGGGCGGTGTGGGGGCGGCGGAACAGAAGGGGTGGTAGGGGGCGCTGGAGCAAGCCAAACCTGTGAAGGCGGCTGCAGCCACGGTGCTGGCAGTGGATCTGGTGCTGGCACCACCAGACAATCCAGCTCTTTCTGCCCGCCATGTCTCACCTTCCTCCCTTAGGGGAGCACTGAGTGTGGATTGGGTGGAAGGAAAGGGTCTCTCAGGTCCCTGTCTTCGCCCGGTGAAGCGCTGCCTTGCACCTGCGTGGGGAGGGAGAGGCAAGCCCCATTTGTCCGTCCTGCCTTTCTGCCCACCTTCCCACCTGTTGCAAAGGAAGTGCGGAGAGAAACAGGTCAGTTTGGGGTGGCGTGGCAGGATTTCTAGGGATGGGGCTGGCTCGAGTCATCCTGGGTGGGTGGGAATTTGGCAGCTTTTCCAGCTTTTCTTGTTGTCCTGTTGTGGCTAGCTGGCTGTCAGGGGGGAAGAAAGTTCACCTGGCCGAATTTAATGGCTTTGAGGGATGTCAAACTCAAGATCTTCCCCTGTCTTCCGTGTACATGGATGTGATGTGCCTCTATGTGTAAATCCTCTGGGAGAGAAAGCTCTCAAACTGAACTGAGAGAGCTGAGGGCAAAATCCACGGGGCTGTCATAGAGAGACAAGCAAATGCACTGTGGAAAGTGAGCCGCTCCTCTTTCTCCCTGAACCCTGAAGATCTGTTCAGTGAAGGCGAAAAGGGCAGCATGTCAGTGGCTTGAGTATAATAGTTTGCTTCAAGAAGGGGGTGGCAGGGATGCTCCAAAAGGTTTAGACTACCATTCCCAAAATCCCCTGCCCTTGGCCCACCTTCCCGCCCATTGCAACGGAAGTGCGAAAAGAAAAGGGTCAGTTTGGGGTGGCAGTTCAGTTGTTTATTGTTTGGTTGGGTACTTGGAAAATTGTTTTTAAGGTAATTTGTTATGGATGTTGTTGTAACCCTCCTCCCCCAAAGTAATTTGTGTGAGTAAATGTTGCAAAGAGTGTTAGTTACTCATTACTTTCTGACTACTGTAAAACCCTTAGGACTGTGAAGTGATTGGCATAAAACTTGAAAATTCTTCTCAAAATCTTCTGAAAAGATAATGTGAAAATGTTACATTAAACAAGTTTCGTGTGTAGAAGGTTGCTTTGGTCAACAGACTTTTGCATTATTCTAACAATGCTCCTTGAATTAATTTTTTTAAAAAAAACTGCTACAAGGCAATATACAAC